GTCCGCTTAAAAGTTTTCCGCGTAGCTTTCATAAAAAAAAAACTAATTCCTAATTTTCTAATGTCTCATAACTGCTACGAACCGAAGATTATTAAACACATTCTAAAACTTTCGCGAATCCTCCCTCCCTCGATAATTTCGAATCCGAAGCGGTCACCCATCGATATCCTAACTGCGTTAAAGTGTTGCTTAACCTGACGATCAAGCGTGCGCGCGGTTACTTCAATGACTCTAACGATGTTCTTATAATTTATGTTTATATAATATGTACTTATAATTCACAGTATATTCTAACGTACCTAGCAAATACGCGCGTTGATTCGCCAATCTATTTTATTTAATATCTCTAAAGTTTATGTGGTTATTTGCAAAATGACTTTGACCATTTCTTTCAGTTTAATGTTTTTTATGCATTTTTTGTTATTGATACTGCTTACGTCGGACTCTATATAATAGAGAATATTATGAAATAAATTACAAATTGTGCGTAAATTTGCTACAAGTTGCCAGAGAGCAAGCTCTGATACATATTTGGTGGCAGTTTGGCAAAAGAATTTCATAACATAGATTCTGCATCAAATGCATTTGTTGCCCATTAGCCATAAAAACTTGATAGGAAATTTTGCGCGAAATTTACTCGCTCAGGTGTAGCTACCTGGGTTATTTCTAAAATAGTAGATATCTAATTTGTTGAAGTAAATTAAATTATATCGAATCAGATACCATCTGATTCGATTGTATATATGAATGTGTAGTGATCAGATATGAGCATACCCAACAATATACAGGGTGTTCGGAAAGTACTGGGACGCCCGAATATCAGGAAAAATATAAGTTTTACAAAAAAATGTTTCAGATAAAAGTTGTGGCGTTTAAAAAGATGTATTTACTGATCACATCAGTTTGACCTTGGGTTGCGTAGCGAAGGTCAGGTCAAAGTCACATTAATTTTTTTAAATGGAACACCCCATTTTTCATTGCATATTCTTATAGCACATCTCGAGAGCTTT